CACATACTGCCCCTGCTCCTCCTGTTTCCGTTCAACAATGTCTTCCACTCATTCCTTGTATTATTGCTTTTGAATTGTAATTTCGGTCTGTGTGATTTTCTTCTTCTTCTTCTTCTTCTTCTTGTCGGGTATGGGATTTTCCATTTTTCACATGATTACACGTTGTTGGTTTTAAAGTTTTTCGAAACGGTTGACACCAAATAGAACGACTACGATTTTGGTTACTACTGGTTTTGGGTGATGTACAATTTTAATTGTTTTCTATAGAAGAATAATACAGCTCAAATGATAAACATGCTTCGGTGTAAATCGTATGGATTATTTTTTTGTAGCTGTGATTTTGCACGTTTAATATGATAAGCTATCGAAGAAGGAAGACGATTTGGTTTTAAAGCTAGAACTCATGTATCCTGCATAAGGCCAATGTGAAAGATTTCCATCCTGGGTGGTTACTCGCGTTTGCCTTGACCTGACCCAGGTCAGATTCCTGACGAGTTTCTTTATTTCCTTGTCGAAGTTCCTTCGAAACTTCCCAAAAGATCCCCACCTCCCAAAAGTTCGCAGAAGTTCCTTCGAAACTTTGCAGAAGTTCCTTCGAAACTTCGCTGAAGTTCTTTCGAATCTTCGCAGAAGTTCTTTCGAAACTTCGATAAAGTTGCTTCGAAACTTCGCAGAATTTGCTTCGAAACTTCGCAGAAGTTGCTTCGAAACATCGCAGAAGTTGCTTCGAAATTTCGCAAAAGTTGCTTCGAAATTTCGCAAAAGTTGCTTCGAAGCTTCGCATAAGTTGCTTCGAAACTTCGTAAAAGTTGCTTCGAAACTTCACAGAAGTTGCTTTGAAACTTCGCAGAAGTTGCTTCGAAACTTCGCAGAAGTTGCTTCGATACTTCGAAGAAGTTGCTTCGAAACTTTGCAAAGTTCCTTCGAAGCTTCGCTGAGGTTTCTTCGAAACTTCGCAGAAGTGCCTTCGAAACTTCGCAGAAGTTAGTTCGAAACTTCGGAGAAGTTCCTCCGAAACTTCGCAGAAGTTCCATCGAAACTTCACAGAAATTCCTTCGAAACTTCGCAGAATTTTCTTCTAAATTTCGCAGAAATTCCTTCGAAACTTTGCAGAAGTTCCTTCCAAACTTCGCAGAATTTCCTTCCAAACTTCGCAGAATTTCCATCCAAACTTCGCAGAAGTTCCTTCGAAACTTCGCAGAAGTTCCTTCGAAACTTCGCAGAAGTTCCTTCGAAACTTCGCAGAAGTTCCTTCGAAACTTCACAGAAGTTCCTTCGAAACTTCACAGAAGTTCGTTCGGAACTTCGCAGAAGTTCCTACGAAACTTCGCAGAAGTTCCTTCGAAACTTCGCAGAAGTTCCTTCCAAACTTCGCAGAATTTCCTTCGAAACTTCGCAAAAGATGCTTCAAAACTTCGCAGAAATTGCTTCGAAACTTCGCAGAAGTTACTTCGAAACTTCGCAGAAGTTACTTCGAAACTTCGCAGAAGTTACTTCGAAACTTCGCAGAAGTTTCTTCGAAACTTCGCAGAGGTTCCTTCGAAACTTCGCAGAAGTGCCTTCGAAACTTCGCAGAAATTCCTTCGAAACTTCGCAGAAGTTGCTTCGAAACTTCGCAGAAGTTCCTACGAAACTTCGCAGAAGTTCCTTCGAAACTTCACAGAAGTTCCTTCGAAACTTCGCAGAAGTTCCTTCGAAACTTCGCAGAAGTTCCTTCGAAACTTCGCAGAAGTTCCTTCGAAACTTGACAGAAATTTCTTTGAAACTTCGCAGAAGTTCCTTCGAAACTTCGCAGAAGTTCCTTCGAAACTTCGCAGAAGTTCCTTCCAAACTTCGCAGAATTTTCTTTCGAAACTTCGCAAAAGTTGCTACGAAACTTCGCAGAAGTTGCTTCGAAACTTCACAGAAGTTCCTTCGAAACTTCGCAGAAGCTCCTTCCAAACTTCGCAGAATTTCCTTCTAAATTTCGCAGAAATTCCTTCGAAACTTCGCAGAAGCTCCTTCCAAACTTCGCAGAATTTCCTTCCAAACTTCGCAGAAGTTCCTTCGAAACTTCGCAGAAGTTCCTTCGAAACTTCGCAGAAGTTCCTTCGAAACTTGACAGAAATTTCTTCGAAACTTCGCAGAAGTTCCTTCGAAACTTCGCAGAAGTTCCTTCGAAACTTCGCAGAAGTTCCTTCGAAACTTCGCAGAAGTTCCTTCGAAACTTCGCAGAAGTTCCTTCGAAACTTCGCAGAAGTTCCTTCCAAACTTCGCAGAATTTTCTTTCGAAACTTCGCAAAAGTTGCTACGAAACTTCGCAGAAGTTGCTTCGAAACTTCACAGAAGTTCCTTCGAAACTTCGCAGAAGCTCCTTCCAAACTTCGCAGAATTTCCTTCTAAATTTCGCAGAAATTCCTTCGAAACTTCGCAGAAGCTCCTTCCAAACTTCGCAGAATTTCCTTCCAAACTACGCAGAAGTTCCTTCGAAACTTCGCAGAAGTTCCTTCGAAACTTCGCAGAAGTTCTTTCGAAACTTCGCAAAAGTTGCTTCGAAACTTCGCAGAAATTCCTTTGAAACTTCTCAGAAGTTCCTTTGAAACTTCGTATAAGTTCCTTCCAAACTTCGAAGAAGTTCCTTCGAAACTTTGCAGAAGTTGCTTCGAAACTTCACAGAATTTCCTTCCAAACTTCGCAGAAGTTGTTTCGAAACTTCGCAGAAGTTGTTTCGAAACTTCGCAGAAGTTCCTTCGAAACTTCGCAGAAGTTGCTTCAAAACTTCGCAGAAGTTGTTTCGAAACTTCGCAGAAATTCCTTTGAAACTTCTCAGAAGTTCCTTCGAAACTTCGTAGAAGTTCCTTTGAAACTTCGTAGAAGTTCCTTGCAAACTTCGAAGAAGTTCCTTCGAAACTTTGCAGAAGTTGCTTCGAAACTTCGCAGAAGTTGCTTCAAAACTTCGTAGAAGTTGTTTCGAAACTTCGCAGAAGTTGTTTCGAAACTTCGCAGAAGTTGTTTCGAAACTTCGCAGAAGTTCCTTCGAAACTTCGCAGAAGTTCCTTCGAAACTTCGCAGAAGTTCCTTCGAAACTTCGCAGAAGTTCCTTCGAAACTTCGCAGAAGTTCCTTCGAAACTTCGCAGAAGTTCCTTCGAAACTTCGCAGAAGTTCCTTCGAAACTTCGCAGAACTTGCTTCCAAACTTCGCAGAAGTTGCTTCTAAACTTCGCAAAAGTTGCTTAGAAACTTCGCAAAAGTTGCTTCGAAACTTCGCAGAAGTTGCTTCGAAACTTCGCAGAAGCTGCTTCGAAACATTGCAGAAGTTGCTTTGAAACTTCGCAGAAGTTCCTTTGAAACTTCGCAGAAGTTCCTTCGAAACTTCGTGGAAGTTCCTTCCAAACTTCGCAGAAGTTCCTTCGAAACTTCGCAGAAGTTGCTGTGAAACTTCGCAGAAGTTGCTTCGAAACTTCGCAGAAGTTCCTTCGATACTTCGCAGAAGTTCCTTAGAAACTTCGCAGAAGTTCCTTCAAAACTTCGCAGAAGTTCCTTCGAAACTTCGCAGATGTTCCTTCGAAACTTCACAGAAATTCCTTCGAAACTTCGCAGAAGTTCCTTCGAAACTTCACAGAAATTCCTTCGAAACTTCGCAGAAGTTCCTTCGAAACTTCGCAGAAGTTCCTTCGAAACTTCGCAGAAGTTCCTTCGAAACTTCGCAGAAGTTCCTTCGAAACTGCTTCGAAACTTCGCAGAAGTTCCTTTGAAACTTCGCAGAAGCTCCTTTGAAACTTCGCAGAAGTTCCTTCGAAACTTCGAAGAAGTTGGTTCGAAACTTCACAGAAGTTGCTTCGAAACGTCGCAGAAGTTCCTTCGAAACTTCGCAGAAGTTCCTTCGAAACTTCGCAGAAGTTCCTTCGATACTTCGCAGAAGTTCCTTAGAAACTTCGCAGAAGTTCCTTCAAAACTTCGCAGAAGTTCCTTCGAAACTTCGCAGAAGTTCCTTCGAAACTTCACAGAAATTCCTTTGAAACTTCGCAGAAGTTCCTTCGAAACTTCGCAGAAGTTCCTTCGAAACTTCGCAGAAGTTCCTTCGAAACTTCTTCGAAACTTCGCAGAAGTTCCTTTGAAACTTCGCAGAAGTTCCTTCGAAACTTCGTGGAAGTTCCTTCGAAACTTCGTGGAAGTTCCTTCCAAACTTCGCAGAAGTTCCTTCGAAACTTCGCAGAAGTTGCTGTGAAACTTCGCAGAAGTTGCTTCGAAACTTCGCAAAAGTTGCTTCAAAACTTCGCAGAAGTTGCTTCGAAATTTCGCAAAAGTTGCTTCAAAACTTCACAGAAGTTGCTTCGAAGCTCCGCAGAAGTTCCTTCGAAACTTCGAAGTTGCTTCGAAACTTCGCAGAAGTTGCTTCGAAATTTCGCAAAAGTTGCTTCGAAACTTCGCAGAAGTTGCTTCGAAACTTCGCAGAAGTTGCTTCGAAACTTCGAAGAAGTTGCTTCGAAACTTCGAAGAAGTTGCTTCGAAACTTCGCAGAAGTTGCTTCGAAATGTCGCAGAAGTTCCTTCGAAACTTCGCAGAAGTTCCTTCGAAACTTCGCAGAAGTTCCTTCGATACTTCGCAGAAGTTCCTTCGAAACTTCACAGAAATTCCTTCGAAACTTCGCAGTAGTTCCTTCGAAACTTCTTCGAAACTTCGCAGAAGTTCCTTTGAAACTTCGCAGAAGTTCCTTTGAAACTTCGCAGAAGTTCCTTCGAAACTTCGTGGAAGTTCCTTCCAAAATTCGCAGAAGTTCCTTCGAAACTTCGCAGAAGTTGCTGTGAAACTTCGCAGAAGTTGCTTCGAAACTTCGCAAAAGTTGCTTCAAAACTTCGCAGAAGTTGCTTCGAAACTTCGCAGAAGTTGCTTCTAAACTTCGCAGAAGTTGCTTCGAAACTTCGCAGAAGTTGCTTCGAAACTTCGCAGAAGTTGCTTCGAAACTTCGCAGAGGTTCCTTCGAAACTTCGCAGAAGTTGCTTCGAAACTTCGCAGAAGTTCCTTCGAAACTTCGCAGAAGATCCTTCGAAACTTCGCAGAAGTTCCTTTGAAACAACAGATGGACCGATGATTGAAATTTTTCTAACCAAAGTTAGGCCTTACTTCTTGAGACAGGGTCGATGATTTATTCTGAATTTGACGTTGTAAAACTTAGCAAAGGGCCTACCATTTCTGATGACAAGCATAACGGCTTAACAAAAAGGACTTAACCATTGAAAGATTGGGTTGGGTTTTGTATTTTGGCCAGGTTTGAATCCCGGTCTTCCGGGATGAAAATTTAATCGTTTTCTCCTACGTTTTTCCTTAGGTATCCTTGCCAGTCATTGGTTTCAATTGGTATGGACTGCGATGGGAAATCCACAGGACTTTATAGGAATGTCCATACAAGTCCCAGTACGTATTGGGGGATGTCGTTACGTATTAATCCCAAATATTCCATCAGGTCTGGACGGTTGCCTTAGCGAAACAGTATTGGATTTATAGGAACAGATCAATGCAATTAAAAATGCAATTACATTCTATTCCGTGAGTACACCCCATCATCAACGAGACAATCTGCACTCTTCTGTTGCACTAGTTTGTCTCAAAAGGATCCGGTGCGATGAGTGGCCTGCCAATCAACCAAATTTAAGGCCTTGCTCAATCTTGAAAGTGCATGACGCATGACGGCACAAAGTAATTTGCTGTTCGGGAAGATCCCATGGGCCTACAGATGAACAACAAGAACCACAGGGTACAGTTGAACTGCAGATGCGAAGTTTATATAGATCGTGCACCTTTTCCGATGTATGACAGATGAAGTGGGGGGGACATTAGATGGTTTTCACTAATGGTACATTGGCCATTGGTTTTGATTGGTGGTACCTTGTGCCCTCCACATCTGCGAACTTGATATGCTTGAACGCGTGTAATTGGGTGATGGTAGGAGACATCACAATCTGCGATACGATAGGCTTGGGTGATGTCTTCGAGGTTGCGTAGTTCTGAGTCGATCAGAACTGTTTCGACGATGTTGTTTCTAGGGTGGGAGTGAACTTTCGTCCGTTCGAGTTCTGGGTTGGATTTTGTCGGGGAGCATTGTACTGGCAGCTGGTGAAAATTTCGTCCACCGTCCATTTCTTGTGGACGGGTCGTATAGGTTGTATTGCTTCCAGTTCCTCTTCCTCTGCCCAATCCGCTCTCATTATATTGTGAATCAAGCTTAATATTTAATATAAACCATGGTTTTGAATTAGATAAATTGAAAATGTAAACACAATCACAAAAGTCTAACTTCAGGGTTGCCAAAATCATAGAATATTGACACCTTGATTGATACACTTTGACCTACTTCGGAATGATCGGCACAACGCTTGGCACAGCTTTCGGCACTACCGTGATTAAGGTGTGCAGAGTTGAATACCCCTTGAGGACCGTTCATAAATAATGAGACAAGGGACCGGTGCTAATCACAAATGACGTCCCCACGGTAACTGAAAAAAAACACGAAAACTTTCCGGTCTTTATGCCTTGTGCAGATTACAGAGTAATAACATGTTGCAAAGGGTGTTATAATAATTATCAACGAGAAATCTGTCATCAAGATAGCCTTGTAACATGTTAGAACTCCGCAGTACGAACGTGGTATAAACATGAGTAAGCATCGATTGCCTTCCTTTTTCGATAGCCATTCATAAATGTTCACACTAATTCAATAGTCCTTGATGATCTAATCTTCACTGTAAACGGAAATGCCCTTTGCCTACAAACTGTCGCAACGGAAACCAATCTCCGAATGTATGTACCGTTATAAATTGTGCGTGTTTCCGGAAACCAATTTTCTACCGACTAAACAATGGAAACCCCAAAAATACTGTTCTTGTTGAAAACTAAATTGAACACAATGCGTTCCGCAATTCAATTGCTAGAATGGAAAACAAAAAAAAAACTATTTCTTCTTTAGCTGTCAGTTTCCTTAAATACAAACGACACCTTATTTGTAAATGTTTTTTTTTTTTGTGGCTTCATGTAATTACACACACATTCACTGGATATTATTCGGTTTTCTTGTTTTTATACTTGTCTCACAATCACTTTGCTGCTGGGTGCTGCTGTTTTTTTTTGCGAGTCATGCAGCAGTCGAGTAGAGTAGAGTTTGCGGTTGTGTGTTTGTTTTTGTTTTTGTTTGTTAGAAAAACGACACCAAATATACTTGTTTTTTTTTTCTTATTTTGTTTTTGCTTAAATTTTTCTTCAACTTTTTTTTCCACGAATGATCACGAATCTAGATTGGATAAAATGCTTAGTTTTTGTTTTGTTTCACCACACCGAGAATTTTTTGTATTGATTTTTTTCATGGTTTTCGTTTACGGTTTACCACAAATTAAGTGAAATTTAGGACAAGTTAGAATGTTTACATCGCTCGAATAGTTGCATTTTTTGCTCTGGTAGACATTTATACTTTTTTTTTTAATTTTAAGTAACAAACCGATGAACTTTAGTTTCGTGTGTTTATGTGTGTGTGTGTGTGTGAGAGTATGTGAATGTGTTAGTGTGACAGTATGTGTAGCAGTGTGTGTGTTTATTGTGTGACAGTGTAGTGAGTTTTGCTCTACACACTATTTATCTCTTGTTTATTACTGAGGTACATTTAATTTGGCACAGTGAAATTGTTTTTCTTTATTATTTAAAATGGGTTTACTTTGTTTGCTAGGAAGGAAAACGTCTATAAAATTGTTTCGGTCGTTTGAGTGTGTTTGTGTGCTGCCGTCTGCATCTGTCGCACGGTTTTCTACATGTATTCAAAAGTAATGCCTTAGACGAAACAATAAACTATTTTTCTTCCGCTTGCGCGCTTCGTTGTATGTGGTTGTTGTGGGTTGTTTTGTTTTTTTGTTTTTGTTTAGTTCGCTGCACCCAACCCGGGTTGGGCTCGGAAAATTGAAAACCTTTTTCAAACTGGCGCCGCCCACTCGACGAACGCCCGACTATTTGATTGTTGTTTAAAACTTGTTTTATTATAAATATAGAGTAAAAAAATTAACTAAAAACCTGATTCATTTACGGCTGTAAAAGTCTATTGTAAAACGCTATTGCATCTGTCTTTGTTGTATAAGTATAAATAGTTTAAATCTGTTGAATATATAGAAAACAATCACATTCAGTTTTTTGCTACTATACCTTTGCTTAAATATTTTCTTGTGTATATACTATAGATTTCAGTTTTTAGACAATCTTTTCTCAATAAAAACTTTTAACTTAATTTGCCCGTTCGAAACTTAGCGCTTATCGGCGATTAAAAACGGAAACTAACTTTAAAAACAAAAGATACGGTCTGCCTTAATCATCCATAACATAACAATACGATAACGGCTTCACTAAAAAACGCTAAAACAATCGACGATAATATCGCTCCGGTCATGACGCGGAATATTTGGAACGAAAAACAGAAAAACAATAGAAAATGAACATCAGTGGCTCTGGTTTGTTGTCTCTTCGCGCAAAAGTGGTGTACGTGTGAGTGTGTGTGTGTGTGTGTGAATGTTTTTGGGGGGTCTGTTGTTGGCTCCTAAATATTCGCAATAGTTAATGACATAAAATCACAGACTTGTAATTGCGGATTCTTATTTTTCTCATTTTGCAGCTTTGCTTGCAGAACGAAAATGTCACATCCGAGTAGGCACCGTCGCCTACTGCGTGAGCGTGAGTATGTATTTTGTTTTTGCTTATGCTTGCTTGTGGGTGTGTATGTGTGTGTTTTGCGTGAGTGTGTCAGTTTTTCTTTTAGTAAGTTACGCATTTACGCTTAGATGAAACCAAAATTTGTTTCCATTGTTTTCTTTCCATTATTCCTTCAATACATCAATGTGTAAGTGTGAGTTTGTTTGCTATCGCTGTGGTTTTCGTTACATATCTCTTTAGTTTTACTGAGGTAAAGTTGTTTTCTTATTTCTCTTCGCAGCTGCCGCTGCTTGCTTGACTTGCTTCGTTGAGTTTCTTGTTTCAGTGTTTGGTTTTGCTTTGCATTCACTAAAGTTAAAGGGTTATATCCATTGTTTTTCTTTTTTGTTGTGTGTGAAATAAGACATCGATAAAAATCTACATTTGTTTCTTACTTTGTGTGCAGTCATTTCGGTGAATTATTGCTTTGTTTGCTGTCACTTTTGTAGTTGTAAACACTCTGTACTGTACTCGTGTGTGTGTGTGTGTATGTGCTTGTGTTAGTGTGAGTGTGGATGAGAGTTCTCTTCAAAATCATCGATCATCGCGTCAATTCCCGTTCGCTGCCTTGCGTTTCCCGAAGTATCTCACTTCCGACAGAGGACCATCCGTCTCCTCCGCCGGCCCTCCTCTCAGCGGGGCGAGGTGTTGTGCACGTGAGTGGTCAGATGCTTGGACAGGTAGTCTGCCCGGGCAAAGCACTTGCCGCACGCTTCGCAGTGATACGGGCGCTCGCCGGTGTGGATGCGCAGATGTCTGGTCAGGTCAGACTTACCTCCGAACGCCCGTCCACAGAACAGACAAACGAACGGCCGTTCGCCGGTATGCTTACGAACGTGCAGCTTGAGATTCTCCTTGGAGCGAACGCATTTTCCACAGAATGGACATGCAAAGCGTCGATCCCGGTTCTTCTCAGCCGCATCCACGCGCAGGAAATTCAATATGGACTGCTCCTGCGGGTTCAAACCCAGCAAATGGTGATGTGGAATGGACTCAGCGTTGATTAGACTGTTCAACGTCTGATTGAGCGAAGACGAAGTAGACGGAATGCTATTGCTGCTACTGCTGGACTCGGCTTCCATACGATGGGCGGATTGATACTTCTTAAACTCAAACTCCGATACAGCACGTTCCATCATCGAGCTACTAATCTTTCCCTGTCCTTCATCGACAACAAACTCCCTCGGACCATCCGTACCCGTCGCCACATTCATCGAATCGACCGTATCATCTTGCTCGTCATTATCACTCATGTTCTCATCATCCCGAATCAAGCCCCGCAAATCTACGCTATCACTTTCGTTAGTGCTGGAAACCTGTTCGCTTTCCCCTCCCTTGTCCTTCTTCCCGTGCAGTCTCTCCAATGCATGATTCAACCGATGCTTCTTGAAAGACTTCAGATATCGGAACTGCATTCCGCAGACATCGCACGTGAACAGCTTATCGCCCGGCACACGACTACGGCTGCCCTGTTCCCGATGCTTCGACAGCACCGTCCTATAACGGCAGCACGTATACCGACTCTTCTGTCCACATAGTCCACACAGATACGGTTTATCGTCATGGATCGTCAGATGTGGATGCTGCAGGGCTGAGTGCTGCTCCAGCAGCCAAACCGAAGGGAAGTTTGCCATGCAGATGTGGCACTTGGTATCCTGGACGCCTCCCGGGTTGCCAACCGGTTCGGCGACCGGTGAACTGGAAGCCTTCATCAGCGAAGAGTACAGCGAGAGATCCGCAGGACTGCACGCTCCTTCGTCTAGCGCTATCGTCGACGGTTTGCGGAGCAACAGCTCTATGCCGTTGTGGAAACCGTCCTTGGTGAGTCCATCCCGTACCCGGATCATGTCACTTTTCGGTGGGGGTGATGTGATGGTGGTGCTAGCGGTGCTGGCACTGGAAGAGCTTTCCGATCGGCGTGATGTGGAGGGTTGTTCGTCGTCCTGTTTGCTGCTGTGGATGGAGGTTTTGGAGGATGTGGCTGATGCTGCTGCCGCTGCCGCCGCCGCCATGGCCGCTTGAAGATTCAGTGGTTCACGGTCCGGGCCATGGGTTCCGAGCAGCAGGTTGCGATATCTGTTTTGGAAAGGGAGAAAATTTGGGATTCGGTTAGTGTTGCGAAATGGGAGTACTCTAAATTTACGTAAACAAATTGTGCATTTACACTCTTAGGGACTGTTCATTAGACTGATGCAAAATTTGAAATTTTTGCTCCACAGTGCTAAACGGTTCCAAATCGGGTCCTGGTTAGCCTCTAAAAATTTGAACTACTTTAGTAAGAAACTGATTTGGCACAAACCATTTCAAGTTTATATGGAAATTACAATGGGAAAACTTATGTTTTTGTTCATATCTATCTAACAATTCACCACATCACTATGCTTTTAAAAATCATAGCAGTAATTGTAAAAAAATTTCTCAGCTACAACTTTAGTGAAAAACACTTTTCAATCAAAAGTAAGGAACAAAAGTTATTAATGATTCAAGTCACTGATGTCTTATAATTATGCTCATTCAACTGTTCAGCAGGCAACATTGGTGTTTCTGGTGCGAAGAATAGAGCACAAATATCATGGCTACTATGTCACACTGCAGCATACAGTGTTGCTAACAGAACAGCTGCTTGATCATGCCATAAGATTATCAATCTCGTAATCAATTAATAACATTTTAATTTGACATTTTACTGAAAAACGATGTTCCGCAAAGTTGTAGCTTAGAAAATTTCCCGTAAGAATAGTTATTGAAATTTTCGAAAAAGCAATATGGAAAATTGGTAGAAGACAATGAACAAAAAGTTTGGTTTTCCCATAGTAATTTCCATATAAACTTCGAATAGTTTGTGCCAAGTCAGTTTCTTTCCAAATGAGTTTAAATTTTGAGAGGCTAATCAGGACATGATTTGAAACCGTTTGAGCACTGTGGAGCAAAAATTTCAAATTTTGCATCAGTCTACTGTTCATATAAACTAAGTAGACCGTTTTTGGGAGGTTTTAGATCCCCTCTCAAGAGTTGTTAGAACTGTTTTTCGAATATCGGTATCATCCGTTCACAGAAATCGGTATTTATCGGTATTTCGTTTTTTTTTACTAAAATTAACGGGCAGTGATGAAGGGGCGGTGGATGGATATTAAGGATGGTGCATGCATTTAAGGAAGGCTTAATACAGAACGGGTTTATCGTTACTGTCTGAAAATTCATATTTTTTTTCTTTCTAAGCAGGTTTCTCATTCACAGCAAAAAATAAATTTAAATAGGGGACATGTCGGCTTCGGCAATACCTTAACCTATTATCGTCAGGGGGTAAACAAAGTCCTAGAGCACTCAAATTTAACCAATAGATGCTCTGAAATACAATGTATCCACATGCCATAATTGAGCTCTCAAGGACGTTGTTTACCCCCTGACGATAATAGGTTAAGGTATTGCCGAAGCCAACATTTCCCCTATTACATCCAAGATGATGCACTTCGATCATGTCGAAAATCTGAATGCAGGCCTGGATAAGAGTTTCTGGCCGCCTTCTTGATAAACCGATCACCGACCAAAGGTGTTCCGGTGACGCCGGAGGAGTGTTTCACTGGAAAGCGACCAGACTTGTCAGAACTGAAGGTGATGTGCCAAGTCCGAACCGGGAATCTTTGTTGGCTTTGCATGTCAGTCGAAAGGATATCGAGTGTATCTGCCAAAGACAAAAACAGTGAAATTTGTTCGCGATGCTGTTTTGCTCAGCGAGGAACAGCGTGCGGTGGAATCTCCGGAGGCAGTGTTCCCGGGAAGCTGGACGGCGACGAAGATGGTCAAAAAATTTCACGTTATCGAATCAATCTACGATAAATCTTTTATCATCTCGTGCATCTAAATCCATCTACTCGCATCGCTCTCCAACTTTTTGCAGGAAATCTACAAAATCTCCATCAATTTTCTCTCTATCTACTATGCGTGTGCGCATCTCACAACAGTAAAGCGAAATTTTTCCTACATAGAGTCGCATCCCTCGGACGAAGCAAATGTTTTTTGGTGACAGATCAAGCGCAGAGGAAGTTGACGAAGATAGTAAGTCGACAAAGATAGTAAGCCGGAAGATGTTGCAGAAGCCGACAACGACGTTGTTTCCGGGCCGTTGTATATCAGTGCAACTGAATCTCTAGAATCATTCCCAGCAGAATCTGTCGTACTCCCTTTACAATCTGTAGATCGTCTCGAGATCAGGCGCAGTGAACGGGAGCGCAATATTCCTAGGCAAGTACCAACATTATGACTTACACTAAAAGGTTGTCCGTGTCTCAGGAATCAACAAAAGAGCCGCAGTCTTTTCAAGAAGCGATGGATTGCGATGAGAAGCAGTTGTGGCAGCGTGCTATGGAGGCCGATTTCGAGGCACTGATGTCGAATAACACTGGGAGCTGACCGACCTACCACCAGGACGCAAGGCCCTAAAGTGCAAGTGGGTGCTGAAGAAGAAGCCGTGCTTGGAACGTGAAGTTGGACACGGAGCTGAAGACCCTTGTTTATACCCAATGGATGGATGGATGGGAGGCGAATGAATGGATGGAAAGCGAATCATCATAGTTGCAGTTTACGAATGATCCGAAGTGGCTCGATGCAGTTAAACGTTAACTGTCAGTAAAGTTCCCAATGAAGGATTTGGACGAGACCCACCAAGTGCTTGGAATGCGGATTACCAGGAAGGGTGGCAGTATCGTGCTGAATCAACAGCGATACATCGAGAAGTTGCTGCAAAAATACAACATGGCGGACTGCAATCCGACATTAACACGGAAGAAGTGAGCCAGAGGATTGTGAGAGCAATGAGTCCGAAAACCGAACAGGAGAAGGCAAGGATGCAGAATGTTCCGTACCGTGAATGCTAGACGTGAAGGAGCCGAATGTTATTCACTGCGACAATCGTTTTCAAAATTTCAAAGTTAAGGGAGAGTGTTGACTACACGGTAAAAAGTTGTCACATCTAATCCTAATGCTTTTGCACTTGACTCTGTCTGTCATGCGGCATTACGAATCGAAGTGATTTATCATTGATTTTAAAGTGATTTGCGTTTTGGAACAAAGTGATTTGTACTGTATAACACCTTCAAATCCAAATGATTACCATTTGAATTGGAACCACTGTTTTCATCCATTGAATTTGATTAGTTTTGCTTTTGGAAGCAAATGTCAAAAACGCACATGTCAAACATTACTCGCGAAGATGGAAAGTCAACAACAAATTAATTAAGAGCAAGAAAGCGATAATTCTCCATTTCCACCCGTAATAATTTGCGAGTATTACGAAATTGTTGCTGTATTCAATAATAGTGTATTATTAAGTTATATTACAAAACATTGTCAAACTTACCAAATTGATTGCTCAATGTTACTTCTACTAGAAGTCTTGTAACACACTTAATCAAGCTCGGTAAAATCTCCAACGGCCGATTACCTCGGCATTTACTTTTGCTGATATCTCTGCAAAATATCTGTTTGTTAGCTGATATCTCAGCAAAATGTTATTTGTTAGCTAAGTCTCGGCAATTGTTTTACTGAATCTCAGCAAAATAAATTGCAGAACGGCTCGGTTGTTGGAATCTCGGCGAAAAATATTAAGTGTGAATGTTGTTCAATTTCACTTGGACACATGTGATCTGGGTAGTAATATGATACATGTTCTATGGTCATATTCTGAATAACATATAACAAGGCTTGCAGTATGAGCAAGGCAATATATTATTTAAATCCATACTCAGCAAACATGAAACCCAAGGATAAATTAGTTAAATTTAAAGTGATAGATTTTTAATTTCAGTATGCTTGACATTTTGAGTTCAAAGCACAGCACATCAACAACGATCTAAAATGAAGTGATTTGTTGTTGATTTCATCGTGCTTCGATATGATCTCTTCCGAGGGATTTGCGCATCGATTTGCAATGTTTGACAAGTAGTAATTCAACAGCAAATCAGTTTACATTAACATGATGTTTCTTTTTACCGTGTAGTGTACCTTCAGAATTTGCTCAGCCCTATATTTGCTACTCTCTAATTAACGTGTTTCTCCTATGCCTATCGAATGAATAAAAGTGCGTTTTTTATTTTCGCTCTTTTTCCCATATTTACCTAAGAAGAAGAGGAGACAACTGGCTTCTTACTCTTTTATCTCTATCTATATCTATCTCTATCTCTATCTTACGCTCTTCAAATCGACCAATCACGAGCTGGTTCGCGTTTGACAGAAAAGAGGTTCGTTTTCGCCCCCGTATTGTATTATCTTCCTCTTAGATATTTACAGCTGATCTGGCAATATAGGATTGAGTTATCTTTAGTAAAAGATCGATCTTGGAGGATCGATTTTATTTACGGTACTAGAATCGATCCATCGATATAATCGGTACAAAATAATCGATCTTTGCAAGATCGATCTTTTCTTCAAAATGCTGAATTACCACAGACAAACAGACATCACACTCGCAAGTTGTTAATCGAACAAAACATTTAATTTAAAAGTATCGTAGTTGGTAGTAACGCCACCTGTGGCGTGCATAGTCAATTCCCTTGTGTTTGAAGTTTACACAGTACCGCCATCTGTTCAGCGTACTACCCACCACAGTTTACTCAACAGATGGCGGTAATGTTTTAGCGACGATGTTTGACAGTGAGAAATATTCAATGTGTTATGTCTGTTTGTCTGTGGAATTACCGTAATGCCCTGGTTAACCCGGACATCTAAGTTATAATTAAATATTACGTCTACTTTGCAAGAAAACTAATATGCTAGCTAATATGTGTGATTCAGATCGATACTAAAACACTATGATAAAATTCACGAGCTATTTGAGCATAGTAGGCAGTGATAATAAACATTTAAAAGTGTCTGGTTTTATGGTCTAAGCTTCTGGATTCCGAGTCTTTACGGTTTGTATTGAAAATTGAAATTAAAGTCGTGTTTAAATATTCAATTACTCATGTTTTTCGAGATATTTGTTTATTTATCAGAAAAATTAATTTAAAAATCTTTAAATGCTGTGAATTGAATAACGAAAATGATATTTTGTATTTGTTGGCTGCAATGAGAGATTATAA